AAACTAGCACTGTTGGAAACATCTATAGGACCCCATTTGCCAAACCAGACCTTTAGAGACATTCCTCCTGCCACACTCAGCTGGACGAAATCAAAGTGCTTCCTCCATGAACCTACAGCAGTCAGATAATGGAACTTTAGACTAGAAACCTCCTGGTCCATGTGCACTTCCCAGAAGGGTAAACTGAGGGTCAGAGGGGGCCAGAAACTTCCTTCAGGACACACACATGAGCAAAAACACCATAATATGGCATGAATGTTTGTTTGTGTTCCCCTCAAAATCACATGTTGAAGCCCTAACTCCTAAGTATTTGGAGGTGGGGCCTTTGAAGATAATTAGTTTTAGATTAGATCATAAGGGTGGGGGGTCCTTGTAATGGGATTCGTAGGATTAGAAAAGACCAGAGGGGGCTGGCAAGCTCACACTCTTCTCTCTCTTTCTCTCCCCTCCCCCTTCATGAGGACATGGCAAGCTCAGCTGTGTGCAGGCTAGGATGAGATCCTCCAGACATGGAGTAGCACCTTTAACTTAGATTTTCAGCCTTCAGACTATGAGAAAAAAAATGTCTGTTGTCTAAGCCACCCAGCAGCCTGATCTGACCGAGGCTCACCAGAGGTCCCCATCCTTTTTCTGGCACATTTGTACCTGACTCTATCCAAGTTAGGCTTGTGATGGAGACACAGTCACAGTTACACTGGGCTGTGGGAGAGCTCGCAGCTTAGCAGCGGCTGAGCTACACTTGGAAGCCAGGACATCAGAATGATGGGAGGTAGCCCCCCAGAGACGAGGATTCTAGGGGTTGGGGACCCAAGGCAAAGTGTCTGGGACTTCCAAGCCATTGGGAGGGCTTTCCAGCAAAAATCTTGGAGACCTGGAAAAGTCATTTTTGGTCCCACCAGGAGAAAAGCAAACTGCAAAGTCAAAACTAGTGAGTGTTTAATTAAACGTCCACAGAAGGTAGCACCAGGTAAGCATCATTAAACTGCTAAATTAATTCTTCCTAAAAATCTCACTACATGTAAAAAGGATTTAGATTTTCTCACTTTGCAAGAATTTCCCCCTACACCCAATCATTCCTGTGAAATCACAGCCTTATAAATTAGTGCCTTGTAGCCAAGTAAAAGCAACAAAAAAAGTATAAAAAAATTCTTTCAGAAATTATGTAATAAAAAGGCCATAGGTAATATGTTTTTAAGAATTAGCTATTATGAGGGAGGGCTGAGTCCTCCAAAACAAAGGGCCTGCAAGTTACTAAGTTACTACCTGAACTAGCTCCTGCTGGTCTTGTCAGACTAGCCTGCTGGGGCTCCTCCGACAGGGGAGCTTTGAGCTTCAGTCTGCCCCCTTCTGAAGGAATATCCAGGACCGCCCTCAAATCCAAATGCAGAGCTCGTGAGGACCCAAAGCCTCCTGTGCCGGGCGGTGGAAGTGTGGGTGAAGGCTGGGCAGGGCCTTTCTAGCTTGGGAAGCATAATTTAATATTGACAAAAAACTCAATAACCAAGATGCAAAATATTTTAATGTCATATTTTTCATCGAAATAATATTTTTTAACCTCAAGATGAACAAAATGGCAAAATTAAAACAGGTTGGTCTGTCCGGCACTCTGCAGCCCTCTGGGCGGGCCGCATGGCTTCTGGGCAGGCCTGTGACCTGGTGCACGGTCTGTGCCTCACTGTCTCCATCCGTACAATGGAGCCAACTCCTCCTCCTAGAGTTACAGGGAAGAGAGAAAGGATTCGTCCAAGCTAGGGAACAAGGTGCAAGGGAAGAACTGTATTGCGGTTTTGAAGGAACATCACACGTTTAAAAAAAAAAACCGAGCTCACACAGTCACAGCAAAATTACCCTGGGGCCCCGGCTTGGCACAGGAGCGTTCTGGTTACTGTTACAGTGGCCTGCGCCGCGGTCTCTGCCCTGGGGGCGGCGGGTGCTCTTCAGAGGTCTGGGGGCAGCGGACCCGGCGCCGGGTGTGGGAGGCCCGGCTGTGCTGCCCGCGGGCCCCAGCTGCGCGCCCGTCTCCGCCTTTGCGCCCTGCACGCCGGGGCACACGCTGCTACCCCGCCGACCGGCGGCCCGCGCCCTCTGTCTGCCCCACAGCGTCGAGGGCGGAGCTGACACTTGATCCCGCGGCCAGGCCAGTCGCTCAGTGGGCGCGGCCGCACTTCAAAGTGTGCGCGACCCGCCCCCTCCGACTGGGATCCGGGTGGGGACCAGCCAGCCCGCTGCTGGGCCTGGACTGTCCCAGGGGACCCGGGCTGCGGGGCGCGCTGCTAACCCGCTCCTCTGGAGGGGTTTTTGGGGAGGCTTCCCAAAGAAGGTCGAGAACGAAACTCTTTTCGTCCGATTCAGGCTCTAGCCTACTGACAAGATTAACTTCAGTTTTTCCTTTTCGAAGGTAAAACCGCTCCTCCGCCCACCCCACCTTGGCTATGTTGAGACTGACGGGGGGGGGGGGAGAACTACACGCTGGGAGAGAAATCGCTGCACACACGTTTGTCTGGGCCTGGCTAGATGCGGAAGGCTGCAGTGTGCTTGAATATGTCAGGAAGGAATATTCTCGAATAAAGAGTTGGTAGAAGGAAAAGCCTTCTGTCCGAGTCAGCACTTGAGACCTCCTTTCCCCACCACCCTGACCTCCCCGGAGTCCTGGGTCTTTCAGCCCAGGCACTGTTCTCTCCCTTGGAAGGGCCCCTGACCCCATTCCCCACCCCAGGAGCTCCTGCCTGCCCTGAGGCCCTGCTCACCTCACCCCCAGTTAGAATTCTGCTTCCTCCTTCTGCCCCCTCCTCATTAAGCCCAGGGTCTCTGGAGCCACAGATGGCTAGCTGGACTTCTGGCTGGACGCCTGCCCTTGAGCAAGGCAGTGTGGAGGTATTGGGTGCACACAGTGTCTGGACCAGGTTTCCAGGATGCCAACCCTCAGGGGGGAATTAGGGGTGAAGGGGTTGGCAAGAAGGTGGTCTCAGAGAAAGACAGGAGAGGAATGGAGGAAGCAGAACAGAAAGGAAAAAAGGCCAAGCACAGGAGCACCAGTGTCAGTCCCCAGGAGCATATGACATCTCCTGGAGACCAGGACCTCAGGCTCTCCCACTTTCCTGTCTGTGAGTCTTTGGCTGCCATCCTGAGGCAAGGGAAGGAGAGCTGTCACTGCCAGTGGCTCCAGTAGCCCAGGATAGTCCCATGAAGAAGGTCACAGGTGTCAGTTAGGCTGCAGGTGTGAGTCATAAGCGTCGAGTGCCCAGGAGATTGGGGCATGGGCTTGCAGTCAAGGGCATTCAGGGTGTGTAGGTGGCCCTGGGCAGAGCACCAACAATACCCCTGCAGCAGCTTGCAGTGGGGATGCCACATCTTGGCCCAGAAAACACTCAGTTGCTCTTTTTACATACAGTATGTGTCTGCCTCTCCTAGTAAACAGCCAGCTCCTTGAGGGCAAGAAAAATGAGAAAACCACTCTAACAGGGAATCAAGTACCACATTCCATGTTCCTGACAACATTGCTATTATAAATTCCAATAGACATTCATTGAGCATCTCCCATGCATCAGACATACACCAGCAAAGTGGATTAGGATTGCTTGCTTACTGAAACCCCTGCTAGTCTGCACGCTGTTTTAGGGAAAGAGCTTTGAGGACATGGACTCCTGGTGGTGGGGTAACAGCTTGGTTTTATATATTTTAGGGAGACAGGGATTACAGGTGAGGTCATAAATCAGTACATGGAACATACACATTGGTTTGGCCCCCAACGTGGGACACTTGGAAGCCAGAGCTTACAGGTTATAGGTAAAGACATTTTAGCTGACAATCTGCTGAAAGAGTTGGGCTCTGTGTAAAAGACCAGGAGTTAGTGAAAAGGAATACTTAGGATAGAGGCTCTGTTAGTCAGAGACAGAGTCCTGGACAGACACTAGTGGTTTGTTACGTATATTGAAGACCTGCAGGTAGTTCTGGCACAGACTCAGGCCTATGTCACAGAAGACGTCTCTAAGAAGGGGAGGGGACACGATGAGGCATGTCTGATTTCCAGTGTTAGGGATTCTCTTGGCCAAGAGGGGTCCAGGCAGTCAGTGCTGGATGAGGGAGCCCTAAGATTTCATTTAGTTCACAGTCGTATCCTGCTCTCTTCAGTACTTGGCACAGAGCTTCACCATAGCAGGAGCTCATGAAATGCTCGATGAATGAATGTACAACTTCTCAGGGAGCTGGAGTTCACAGCCTAGGTAGACAGGTAGATAACATGTTAAATAATTAAAAAGAAAAAACGAAGTGTGAAAACAGTAGCACAGAAACAAAGTGATTAACTTGGGATCAAGCTCCGAGTTCAAAGAAAATTTCACAGTCAAAACTGTTTTGAAATGGAGGCCTTGGCCAAGCCTGTAGAAAGCATTCCAAGGAGAAGAGGCAGAAGGAAAGAGGCATAAAAGAAACAAGCAGGTCCTCAGAACAGGGTCCTTTGAGCTCCAACATCAAACAAGGACTCCAAAAAAAAAAGCGATTTTCATGTTCTGCTCAGATTTCACCATTAGAAAGAGCAGAGGCACAGACTATAAAAATTGATGCACCCTCATAAAGGAGAATGGGTGGGTCTAAGCCATCCTTTAAAGGTATGATACATGCTGGTCATGTTCATCTGACCAGGTGGGACAGTTGGAGTAAGCAGAGAACCCATCAAGGGGTGGCCTGGAGTGGGATCGCAGAACCTGAGGAGGGTCCATGGAGGAGGGCTTCCAGCATGAGTGTTGGACCCCTGGCTAAATGAAGGAAGTTTGCAACAAAAGGGGTAGCTCACTGCTGGGTGCTGGATACAGGGTGAGGAGGGTGATCCCACAGAGGTGTCAGATCCCAAGCAGGGGGAGCAGAGTGTTGTGCAAGGAGAAGCCTTGGCACTGGCTGTCCGAACCTCAACGGAGTGAGAGGAGTGTCCTTGTAAGGGAAAAAACAGCAGTGGAGATGGAGGATTATTTATACAGAAGGGGAGTAATCAAATAAGCAAACATGCCCTCACTTTGGCAGCACATATATTAAATATTGGAGCAATACAGAGAAGATTAGCATGGCACAAGAATGACATGCAAATTTGTGAAGTGTTCCATATTTTTGAAATATTCTTAGGAAAGTATCACAGGAGTGGAAAAGCCAAGTATCCAATGTCCTCAATTTTAAAATGAAGCCAATAGATATTCTAACACACATCCACACAAGAGGAAACTCAATTCAATTCAAGGTCGGGGGAGAGAGGAAAAGGGAGGGCATTGGTGCGCTCCCACCTAATGGGCACAATGTAAGGGTATATGGCACACCTCCTTGGTGCGGGACACAACTACAACAGGGACTTTACCTCACAAATACAAACACTGTAACCTAATCATTTATACTACCCTCCTATTAATCCAAAATTTCAGTAAACCAAAACCAAGTAAGTAAATATGTAAAAGATGAAGAAAAAAATTTTCTCATTGTTAAGAGAATCAAGTTACAAATATGGAAACAAAGAAATCTGGGAAGACTCTTGTGAGTTGGATTGCAATTGGAGGTATTGATAAGGTCTTATGGCACTCAATGCCCAAATAGATATATAGAAATAAATATGGATGGGAAATATGTGTACATGTGTGTACACTTGTGCCTGGGTCTGTATAGATACATGCATATTCCTCAGCTGTTTTTGCTGAGAGAACCTGAGAACAGTGACCCTCCTCAAGCAGTAAGTGTACATCTTGCCCAGGTTTGAGCTTCTAAATACCATTTTCTTTTTTGAGACAGAGTCTCACTCTGCGTCCAGGGTAGAGTGCCTTGGTGTCCTACCTCACAGTAACCTCAAACTGTTGGGCTCAAATGATCCCCTTGTCTCAGCCTCCCAAGTAGCTGTGACTACAGGTGCCCACCACAACTAAATACCATTTTCAACTAAAAGGAAGAAGACACCCTTGGAGAAATGGGTGATTCTGGAGCTGAGGCAGGGATGGGCCTGCAACATCTTGTTACCCAGAAAGTAACTGCCCAAAGAATGATGGAAATAGGCCGAGGAACATGGAAGCCATATCTGGACATTTCTGGAGCAATCTGAACACAAATAAAAACAAGAGTTATAGATTATAGCCCATAGAATAAAATAGGAAACCAGGAGATTGTAGGGTTACAAATAATTGAATAAATTGAAAGCTTGATAAGAAACAAGATATTGATATAAAAATAATTTCCAACTACAGAGGGGAAAACAGTTCAGTGGAGAGGTGGTAGATGCCCCATTAACTGGGTAATCCAAGTGCATATCATCCATAAGTCTTATGCCACCTGACAGGATGCCACAAGGAGAACACAGCATCTTTTCTGTTGTATTTCTGCCAAAGATGAACCTGCTAAATATAATCTGGATGAAACCTCACACAAATCCAGAGAGAGGACATTCTGTGAAATGACTGGCCTACAATCTTCAAAAGAGTCAAGGTCATAACAATCAAGGGAAGACTGAGGAACCGTTTGGTACTTAAGAAAACTAAAGGGGCTTCGTATCTGAGGCGATGTGTGATTCTACACTGGACCCTTTTGTCATAAAGAACGTTATTGGGACAAAGAATGAGACTCAAATGTGTTCTGAGAACCAAATGGTAGAAAGGCAAGCTGTCATGCGTCTGGTGACTATTCTAGAAACACATGTCACAGCATCCAGGGGTGACAGGCGTCACATTGGCAGCTTACTTTCAGATGATTCAGGAAAAATATTTTTATACAGTACTTGCAACTCTTCTGCAAATTTGAAGTTATGTTAAATGTATAGTTAAGTGTATTAAAATGAGATCATATTTCTGTACTGCTCAGACTCTTAATGCTTCCCTGTCACTTTTGCAATAAATACACAGAGTCCTGACCCAGGTCTATGAGTCCTGCATGACCTGTCCCATCTCCTGTCAGTGCCCTTGAGCCTGGCTGTGTTTTACCCACAGTGACCTGCTGGTTCTTTCTGGAATGTGTCCAGCTGTCTCCTCCCTCTGGACCTTTGCCCTTGATGTTCCTATTGCATAGAGAATGGTCCTCCCAGATTTCCATGTGGTGCTCTCTGTTCAAACGTCTCATGTTGTGACCGCATAAATGATCACACGAGACGTGGATTGACAATACACACTGCAAGAGGTGAGGCTCACCATAGGTGCAGGATAACCCTGAGCACTTCTCACAGAGTCCTTGTATTGAGAAGATACATAATAGGCGGAAAGATTACTAAGCAAAGACATGCAGGGGCTGCGTGCTCAGGGAAATGACCTCATAGGTGCCAAGAAAGTATGTACTCAAGGAAATGATCTTCAAGGGTGGTAAGGAAATGATATCTAAAATACTAAATGCAATTTTTCTCCACTAATCCTTTAAGGAACTGTCATAAAATGTTTAGTGTTTAACAATAGGCTTACTACTACAGCACTGAACTTTGCTCCTCCAGGATTCCTGAGTTACTTGGTGGCTTGCCTTCCAAGTCACAAGAGATTTCCAGGCTTGCCAGGAGAATGTCTTGTTCTCAGTAATTCCTCAGATGAGTTATGATATTGGTGACTGTTGTAGTAAGTACGATGTTTAATCCTCTATAGCAGGGGTTCTCAAACTTTTTAAACAGGGGGCTGGTTCACTGTCCCTCAGACCATTGGAGGGCCAGACTGTGGGCCCCAGGATGAGTCAGCTGCTAAACAGGACAGGCAGCTGTGGCAAAAACACCTGGCAGGCCAGAGAAATGTCCTAGGCAGGCTGCATGTGGCCCGTGGGCTATAGTTTGAGGACTCCTGCTCTATAGTCTCCCAGCAGAGAGACCCTTGAAAATAGCTCCTCAGCCAGGTCAGTCACCTGTGTCCCCTTACCTCCATTAAATTTCTTCATAATATATCTACCCAGAAGAAAAAAAAGTCATTTTACCACAAGGACATGTGCACCAGAATGTTTATTGCAGTTCAATTCACAATTGCCAAGATGTGGAATCAACCTAAATGCCCATCAAACATGAAAGGATGAGCAGACTATGGTATGTGTACACCACGGAATACTGTTAAGCCATAAAACGATGGAGACTTCACATTTTTGTATTAACCCGATGGAGTTGTAGAACATTCTACTTAGTAAAGTATCACAAGAATGGAAAAACAAGTATCCAATGTACTGAATACTAATATGAAATCAATAGATGAACAAATACACATCCACGCAAGAGAAAAAACACAATTAAACTCAAGTTGGGTGGGAGGATTGGTAAACTCTCACCTAATAGGCACAGTGTAGGGGTACTTGGTACGCCCCCGGGGGAGAGGCACAACTACAACTTGGACCTTACCTAACAAATGCAAACAATGTAACCTGATCCATCCCTACCTCAGAGTCAAGACTTCCCTTTATGCTGCTTCTCATGGCTTGCCACGTTACTATGGCTTTCCCTGTGTGTACTCTGCCAGTTTCGTCTCTAGAACATCATGTGGAATCAACCTAAATGCCCATCAAACATGAAAGGATGAGTGGACAAGGACCCTCCCAGGTGTGATGACCACCAGGCAACAGGGGCTGACCTCCTTCACCCCCACACAGCAAGGTGGGCCCACCTATGGCTCTAATTTTGAAGATGTGGAAGTTAAAGTTCAGAGAAGTAAAGCAATTTACCCAAGGACAGACAGTTGATACCCAAAGGAAGTGGAATTTTAACTGCCAGAAATAATTGTATTTTCTTGAGCAAAGCCTTAACCCTAGGACTCCACCTTAACACAGTTGGAGCTGGGGTTGTGGGAGCACTTTTGCACTGCATGGACATTCACAGTTCAGAGAACCCAGACTTTCAAGCTGAGTCTAGGGCAAGTCACAGTCAGGAGGATTTTGGAAATTATTATTATTATTATTATTATTTGAGACAGTCTCACTTTGTTACCCTCAGTAGAGTACCATGGTGTCACAGCTCAAAGCAACCTCAAACTCCTGAGCTAAAGTGATTCTCTTGCCTCAGCCTCCCAAGTAGCTGGGACTACAGGCACCTGCCACAATGCCTGGCCATGCAAATTATCTTTCAAAGGAAATCTCAGGGCAAAGGAGGAGCCTGTAGTGGATTTCCTTCATATCCCTCCCTGACAGGTGCTGCGCAGTGGCCATCACAGGTCCCTACTGGGTGGTCTGCAGGGCAGCAGCACATAATAAGAAAATGCATGTGCTTGAAGCCTGGCAGAGGGAGTTCCAGTCCCAGCTCCACCCCTTACCCCAGAGGTGACACCAAGTAAGTGAGTTAACTTTCCTGAGTTTCCAAGTCTTAATAATAGTACCTGTCTTCCACACCACGTTGAGGCTTAAATAAACTAACATGTGTGAAGTGCCTAGCACTGTGTGTGGTCATATTCAGTGCTCTATAAGTAGCAGGATAAATACATCACTGGCCAAGTTATGACACTGTTTGCTCAAGTCTAGGAACTAGAGATTCCAAGATGTGAAATATCAGAGAAGGACCACACTGTCTCTGCCTGAAGCATGGCAGGGAGGCCCCGGTGACAGAGGCAGGGTTCCAAAGGGTCTCCACTTTGATGCTGGCACCAGTCCCATCTAGAGTTTGCCCCACCAGCCCCTGTGGATGGAGCAGGTCCCCCTCCCTGACTCAAATGTCTCTTGGGAGAGGCACTTTCATTTGGCCAAGGCAGCCAACTCCACAGGCTATTGGCTCTATGTGGGGAAACACAAAACCATCTTGAAATGCAACTTTCCAGTTTTAATTTTGTTTATTTATAAATGTATACTGCCAAAAAGATGCCATTGCCTCCCTCCAATCCCTTCTCTGGCATCTAATTACCTTTAGAGCATGAACATCAACATGAAGACGCTTTCCCCAGCCAGACAGCAATTAGAAACATTTGATACTATTTTAGCCATTGAGGATGGGTAGGACGCAGAAACTATCAAATAAGTCCCTGTCACACTTTCCAATAATCCTCATGCCTACCTAGGAAATGAAGCTCAACCTTGCCATGTCCTGGCAAGTTGCCATTCATCAGATGTTTGCTGAGCACCTTCTCAGGGCAGGTAGTGCTCTACGTACTTGAGCTATTTACATACACATTAGTGGCCCAGTAGATAATGAACCTGCCACTGACAC